CTTTACCCCACAACAATAATAATTAATTGTATTTCTGGTTCGTGTCCTCAAGTATCTTCAGTGCGCACTAGTTGGTTAATTAAACTAACAGCAAATATTGCTAAATTCCCCGACTTCGGCGGCTAGCAGACAGCGTGAATACCACTAGGCGTTGATTCTTAGGTCAGTTAACGTCGTTCCGTTGTACCAACCGCAGACCCACTCGTTGTGTCGTCGATTACCTTAAATTTGGGTAATATAACCTTTATCATACATTAATACGCGCGACACGAACGAAGAACGTCAAATATACGCGGATGCAAAAGTGCATTAAGAAATAATAAAAGATAAGGTGATCAGGGCCTCATCGCTTCATCGTCCATAATTGTCGTCCGTTCGTCGTCGCGTCCGCCGTCCTCCGTCGTTGAATCCGTTGAAATGATAAAAAAGAGAAAGGGAGGAATAAGGGCCGTCGTAACATCTGGACGTTGTTGATCCGGCATCTTCCTTTGTTGAAGACGAAAGTGCATGAAAAGGACAGTGCCGAGCGGAAGAAAACAGAACACAAAAGGAAGTAAACACCCAAATGTTACAAAAATACATATTTTATACAGCTACTAAGAAATCGAGATTTAGCAATCTCAACAGTTGTATTGCGAACAATGATTTCTAAAGCGCTATCGCCATGACCCTATAATTCTCGCAGATACAGAACTGATAACCTGTGCACTGCCCTCAGTTGACGACTATAGCTAGAATACACTGCATTATCATCTGCTTGTTTTCACTGGAAGCAGGCATGATTGTACATTGGAGTAGCATGTTGTCGCACAGTAAGTCCAAGGTTCGATTCTGCCGTTGGGAAAACCAATAACTCTACGATCCATTTGGATGATAAATATTGGCGTATACAAGGGAGTCAAAACCGCCATCAGCTTGCTTGTAAGCAATCCTAGCTGTCTTGATAGCGGATGGTTGCTGCTGGCATCTGCTACCAATCGAGTTACTTCCCAAACGCCTTTTCTCTTCACCAGAGCGAAATACGGAGAGGATTTTAACTTTTTGACTGTTGACTGAAAATGTCAACGTGGAAGACTACGGTGTGGCTATGTGTAGTATACTGTTATGTTGCACAAAGAAATTCTCGCATCACGACTTTCAAATGATTCGCAGCAGCGCATAAAAATCTGGCAGCATGGTGAAATTAGTTGCTATGGAATCATTACAGTGACCGATCGTATGGGACACATAGCTATCCCTGTTAAACGTCCCATGCAAAAATGTTGAGAAGTGTATGCCACCGCTACAAACGTGGTGAATATCAGATTTTTATGCATGTTTATGCAAATACAAAAAAAACATTTTATTAATACTGTTTTAAAAAGTAAATTAAGATTGGTAATCCAGCGAGAAATACGAGCAAACGTGCTGTGTGGATCGATGGTGGAAATCACGCGCGGGAATGGCCTGCTTTCCACACAGCTGCCTTCTTCATCCATGAGGTCCCCTATCAGTCTTCTGCTACACAAATATTATTTGCTTGGATTTGGAAATACCCACTTCTGTATAATACTGGCCAACCGACGGACGACACCAACTGTCCATGAACTGGTCAAACGTCGTCTCCCTCTTTCATTACTATGCATTTAACAGTCCATTTCAGCTAGTATCAAAATACAGTAAGGATGCTGAAATTACCAACTATGTCGATAAGCTGAATATTTATGTATCTCCGGTGCTCAACCCCGATGGCTTCGAATTTTCGCGTACATCAGACGTCGCACTGGTAAGAACTGCTTGGCCGTGGCACTCCTTACTCAGAAAAACCGAAAAAATTTCAATCAGCTTCAGATAAGACACTGGCGAAAAAATCGGGCTCCAGAAAACTGCTCCGGGAGCATTCTGTTTCGGAAAAACTTATGCTGCGACGGAGTTGATCTCAACAGGAATTATGATTTCGACTTTCGACAAACTCTTTATCCGTACAACAATCCTTGCTCTGATGAATATCAAGGGCCGTATCCATTCAGTGAGCCTGAGTCACGGCATGTTTCATTTGAAACTAATATTCGCCTTCATATGTCAATCCTGTTGAAGAAATTTGCGAGGGAGATCGTTTTCCTCCCAAAAAAATTTTTTCAAAATTCTTATTCTCTCGCATAATTGCTCTCCGAAAATTTCCTTTCCCTTTCTTCAAGCAAGTCCTGGCTGCACTGGTAGGATGCAACTCGATTCCAGAAGCAGTTTCCAGATTTAAAACTGAACAAGATTCTTCGCCCCACCGATTTATTCGTTTTTGCGCCAGACTTCTTTTCCACTTGTTTATTTTCCTTTCACCACTTTTCGACATTTTCTCCAAGGAAGTGCGACTTGCATGATGGATGAGGAACAAATTTTTAGCGCAGTACGCGACATTATGACCTCAGCTGAATTGCGTGGCAAAGTGGATGCAGTGATAAGTATGCATACTCATGGTCAACTTATCATCCTGCCCTACAATCATCGCCGAAATACTTACCCCAGCGATTATGCTGACTTGGTTTGTTCAAATTATAATACAATTTTTGTCCTAAATTGTTATATGATTTAAAAAGTTGATTCTGACGAAGTGCATAAAACCTAATATGCGCCACCTCAGCAAATTGGTCACTAGGCGATGCGGCAATGGCCAAAAGGATCGGTTCACAAAAACAGTACATTTGGAAGCATGCTTAAATGATCGGTTAGATCCACAAAGCGCGTACCTTTATTCAGCACTGCAGCCAGTTGACGTGCCATCGTTTCAGGTTTCTCTACCAGTAGTGTGAAAAAACCGAACATGGGCTTCACGAAAGCCTCTCAAGTGTCGCACGTTTCTAAGTCATTTCAGGAATTTCATTTCAAGAACGCGCATTAAGTCTCAATAACAAATTATTGGTTGTAGATGGCTGTGGCAGTGAAAGCAAAAGATGCGATCAAGGCCCTCACCGGACGTGAATATCAAATTGGCACCGCCGCTGATTTACTTGGTATGCAGTGTCGCGCAGTTACAAATTCTACACCGTTTCCGCCACTAGCAAACGAAGACTGCGCACTCCCTCACCCGTTACTTATCTCGTAAAAAAATGGTGCCCTCACCGAAATGACTCCTTCTGCCCCCTTTGCCTAAGCATGGTACTCCACTTTCGTGGATGGTGCATTTATTTACTTTTTAACGAGATTTACTCAAATTCCACTCAGCTCTAGTGCTTTTTGGGGCCGAATTTCGAGCTACTTCGGTTGCTCTCCGCTCTGCTCCAATCCGACATCGTACTTCCAGTGCTAATTTTTATGCGTTTTTTGCAGCAATGCAATGCGAACCTAGGCTGGAACGCACCAGGCGAGCCGGAGC